CACACTATCAGCGTGTCTCTCCTAACTGATGTAAAATCTCTCTCTAAACGCGCATATTTGCTAGTTTAAACGATCTGACCTTTAAACATGTATACATACAGGTCAGACACTCACATTGATATTTCCATAGACTTACATTATAAGAAATGGTCCCTTATCCTACCTTAAAATTCAGTTTTCATGCTAAAGAGGTATTTTTTCTAGCAGAATGAAATGCCTGACACATAAAAATGTTCCTGTTATATAGGGGTAGCCAACCAAATTTTTTGCAAATTGACTTCAAAGAGGATTACCCCCCATTTCATTGAAATTTTCTGCTGATCACAGGACTGACATACACTTTTTATAAATGCAAATATCCAAGTCAAAATTATCACAGAGACTCATGAAATATTTCATTTTCTTCAGAAAACATTGTAGTGTTACTTTTTAAATTAGTTTTTATACTTAAAAACACCCCACTTTCATCCAATCGCCTCATGTATAAACTGAATCATACGGTTTTCCCTGCACTTTTTTTCAGCCAATCGCTGGCCGTGTTACAATACGATACCCTGACCTAAAGGGAATATTAAATGTTTAGTATTCTAAAATCTAATAATAAATGAAGTTGCATATACAATTACCAATAATGTGGATGCATTTTCACCACTCTTAAGTCATTTAAAACTTTGAAGTTCCCTTTTTTGCAACAAGCGCCGTTATGCCGCATTCCGGATATTCTGAAAATGAAATTTAGCATGTGATTTTTATACTTAACTCATTATTCTGAAGCCAATTTTGTAACAACTTCCATAAAATCACACAGATAGCAAAACTACACTGTTCTCATTACAGAAGTGCTTCAAAATACTAATTTTGTAACAAAAGGATGCAGCAGGGAGCAATTTTATCACCCCACCCATATCAAAATAAGTGATTTTTCACCCAAATTTCAACATTTTATTACCAATAGACTTCCTGAATGAAGATTTAGCTTAGCAAACATACTTAATAACTACTGTATAATGACCTGATTATGGATTACACATTATTTGTACACACATAGCAACATTTTGGGTGTAACTAGGTATTTCAAAACTGCCCTGCTATATTTTTCTACTCCAAATATTTGCATATATAGTCTTAAATACAAGCCTAAATGTCAATAAAATGCCAAAATTCTTTTTATATTTTTTGTCTCTCTCTTACATGGATATAAAGAAATGCAATATATGGAAAAACCAAGTTCCTCTGGATTTAACAGCACAGTAAAAGCCTAAAATTTGACTTCTACACCCATTTTTTGGTCATTTTTGCATTCATTTGGAGTCAAATATGACAATTGAAACCTTCTTTCAGGTGTTTTAACATGTAAATCACCTCTTCAGACCAAAATGTACTTGGAATGGACAGTAATGTGTATTTTTTTCTCATTTAGGTAGCCAGAAACTAGAATTTATGCACTTATCTAAGTTTCTCAATAAATAAAGGGAGGTAATTCACTGAAGTTGTGCATAATCACACCCTTTTTATACATTTATCTACCAGAATAAGTGCCTTTTCTGTTTATAGACACATCACAGACACTAAAGCTGTGTTATAATTGTGCCTGATATGATTGTGAAAAAGTAGATCAACTTTTACTTATCAATAAAACTTTTCTACAAAATAATTCTACCCTTGGCCATTATGATGCACATTCAATTATGCATTAAACAGACATAAAGTCTAAAAACTATGGCATTATACAATTGTGAGTGTGTAAATATGTATTACCAAATAGAAAACAATAAATTCTTATCACTATTTTGCATTTTAACCACATAATAAGAGGCTATTCAGAAGCAACCTAACTGAATTATGCTACATTTTTCAATGGATTTGAATTTCTAAGTATGTGTTAATATTCATGCCCTGAAACCAAGTAAATTTTAAGACAAAAGCCTTAAAATGATATTTATTTGAAGCTTTAATGCTATCTATGCCTGGAAATGAAACAAAAAACATTCTTATATAGGAAACAGACAAAGAAGCAATTTATTTGTGACATTCTATTTAAATATTTGAGCAAAATGGTAAAAATTAGTGCCGAGCGAAGAAATTTCCGCCCCTAAATAAAGTCGAAAAGTTAATCGAAACAGCACCCTAAACTTTTTTAATTATTATATATCAGTTTTGAACCTGACAATATGCATTTGTAATGATATACCTGCAACACCCATCAAAAGTGGCCAATGTGCTTACATCAGGTCCTGTCAAGTTATACATGAAGTCTTCAAACCTGGCATGTGTATAGCCAATGTACAGCATTTCTTTGAAATCTGAAAAATATTTTTAATGACCAAGGTCTACATTATTCATCATCAACATATCACCAATTGATTATCACTCAAATTCACTGTTCAAAGAAAATATAAACCATTATGAACTCTTATGTAACACTAATACTCTTGTTCATATGTAAACAATGCTTGTAGATTGACCCCTTTGACACATTATCTGCTGTAAACACCAACAGTTGCACTGAAATAATGAAATATCATACCTAGACAGGCTGTATACATCCATTCTTCCAAAATATCAGCTTTTCATGGTGTAATCAATGAAGACAAAGTTCTACTGTGAATTATGACAGTTCCAATTTCCCTCTCTTTAGGTCAGACACTCACATTGATATTTCCATAGACTTACATTATAAGAAATGGTCCCTTATCCTACCTTAAAATTCAGTTTTCATGCTAAAGAGGTATTTTTTCTAGCAGAATGAAATGCCTGACATATAAAAATGTTCCTGTTATATAGGGGTAGCCAACCAAATTTTTTGCAAATTGACTTCAAAGAGGATTACCCCCCATTTCATTGAAATTTTCTGCTGATCACAGGACTGACATACACTTTTTATAAATGCAAATATCCAAGTCAAAATTATCACAGAGACTCATGAAATATTTCATTTTCTTCAGAAAACATTGTAGTGTTACTTTTTAAATTAGTTTTTATACTTAAAAATACCCCACTTTCATCCAATCGCCTCATGTATAAACTGAATCATACGGTTTTCCCTGCACTTTTTTCAGCCAATCGCTGGCCGTGTTACAATACGATACCCTGACCTACAGCGACTGGTTTAAACATGATATTTACACTCTGTTTAAAACAATGTATCACTGTAAAGAAATATTAACTCGTTGTTTCATCTACAACAATATATCACTGTAGGGAAATATTAACTCGTTGTAAGATACATATCTACATATAAACTTCATGATTATTCTGACACGTGGCATTGCCATGTTTCTTGTAATTGACTATGTAAATGGGAAAACCCAATTAAGAATATAGACAGCCATTGTTATCTTTTAATGGAATTCGATTCGATGAAACAAAACAAAACAAAACAAACAAAACAGAACGCCACACTCATTTTATTCAGATTTTGTGGGAAGAAAAAAACTATTTTGAGTGACCGTATTGAGTGATCTCAGGGAGGTCAGAAACATTTTGTCGTAGTTTCGTGGTTTCTTATGGCATCCCGCGGAGCATGGCACAAACAAGTCACCATAGATGATAAAGACAGAAACGAGCATGTTTTTCAATCTGTAGAAAAAGGCAAAAAATGTGCTTCATAATGTAGTGATAATAGATTTAAGAAAAAAAAACAATACACGACGACTTTTGCATGAGAACTTTGAAATATTAGCTGAATTATTTTACTTGTGTCACACAAGTACCAAGTGGTTATTGCAAAAACTGAAATGATCTGACATACATAAATCTAAACCTCTTAGAGCTTAAATAATTTGTCAAGTAGATTTATGTTTGGTTAAGGTTCTTGTAACACTTGTAGCATATTTTTTTGTAAGTGATGTCACAGCAAGAGATGGGAAAAGGGATAAATATTGAAATAAACAGTTATTTATTTATTTATTAAGATGTGTTCAAACACTTCTAACATGGCGTTTTCTTCGTGAAATATTGTACAATTTAAACAAAACGTTGGTTCTTTTTGACAGACACTCGATCCAACATAGAAATAAATTTTGCCCTGGTAAATATAAAAGAAAAAAAGGTTTATTATAAAATTAATGTTGTTGTTTTATTCAACTGTTGACCACTATCGTCAAAACAAACGTTAAAAAATCAAAAATGACTTTAATGGGGCATGGCAACTGTATTTTTTCGAAGGCAAAAGCTATAAATAAGCTTTACATTATAAATAGATAATGAATTCGAAACTACACAAGTAATGTTGGTAAAGATCAGTAAAAGAATAATTATAAGATAATTAGAAAAGTTAGCGAAACATGATGGTAGTATCTATTTTCGCAACAGAAGAAAAGATATAACTAGACAAATAACTATACATTCATCATGTCCGCATTTGAAAAAAAGATGACCCAGAAGTTTAACTGACTTTTCCCAAAAATGTTATTATATCTTCACTCAGATTCGACTTATTGTCAAGCAAACATCTACATCAGTAGTTTACTTAATGGTATGAAACTTAAAACCCTTTCTTTAGTTAGAATGATATTGCTAACTGTTGTCTGTAAAATTCTCTATGCATGTAGTTAATTGTGTACAAAATATAATTTGAACATATATTTCTGTTTATAATATGTGCGTATTTGTGTATATATTTGAGTATTTGATTATTGCACAAATTTTGTATTGATTTGTGTACTACTGATTTTTATAGTTATTCGTGTATAGGGTTTCACTTGAAAGAAGATTATTAGGTATTGTATAGCTTTCATCTAGAATAAAAAAATAACTATATTGTACATAATCTAAACCTTTCCAACACTTTTTTTTTCAAAAATCTTTAATTAATAGAATCTATAACTTTATAGCGAGAAATAAGTTGTTTATAAATACAACAGGCTTTCTGCTAAGTGAGCTCTTGAAACACTCGACCTAACCAACTATGTTTCAGCAGGATAAAAAAATCACATCCTGTTTTCCAAGTATTCGAGTAATTTGAGATATATATACATTGTATGTACGAGAAACAAGTGAATCCTTGGATTTGCAAGCCAGTGTGAAACAAGCGTCTGTTTGTTATAAATGCGTTTTATAAAAACAAGATGCATGGATTAAACTGTTTGATTTTCGCCATTTTGGCGAAGTGTAGCTTTTCCTACGTAATATTTCCAGATGTTCTTGAAACAGCTTTACAGAATTTACGTTCTAAGAGGGAAGGTAGGTTTAATTTTAGATCATGATAACTTGATAAGATCTATTTCTGGATTTTGATATAAATACACATGCATTTACTTATGATAATTCCTAACTCAAGGCGGTATTGATCGAACAATTTGTTCAGACTTTCTTAATCCCTTTCCCCATCTGAATTTAATATGTGTATCGGTAACGGTCTTTTTCTAACTTTGATATTTAAATACACGAACTTAAATGTAAATATACTATATAATACTTTGTCTTACATTAAAATAATTAAAATACATGTATATAAACAATTATAATCATTACTGTTACATTTACGTGTATTCATATAGTTGAGATGTATTGGAAATCAGTATCAGTATAAAACTCCTACTGTTTATTGAATTAAGCTTTCATGATATATAGGTAGATAATTTTATTGACTTTAACAGTACAGATTTTTTGTCTTTTTATCATACATTTGCATATACATATATAACATAATTTTATCATCTGACACAATTTACATTGTTAACATATTGTGGAGGATGAATAAGATGTTCACATATAAATCAATTTCACACACAAAAAATCAAAGTGAAGTAAATGCCTTCCATAATCGGCATAGTTAACAATGCACATACGGCATTGTAAATACATTTGGAAATATTTTATATTGTAGCTTGATTTTCACTCTTTAATAATAGGCTTTAATATATTGTTTTCTAAAATGTTCTTACAACAAATAAGAGATAGCAAAGTGGTTTTCATCTCCAATATCTCTATTTTGACAAAAATACAATATTTTTTCCACTCTGTTTCTAGAATAGCGTCAAGTTTCAATAGCCAGTTTATGTGAAGATAATCCTAATTTTGATAAAGCATTTCTAAACTTGAATGACAATTAATCTAAATATGGTTCAAAACTAAATTCTGTTTTAAATTGCTTTTATATATAGCAGTAATGTTCCACATTCCTGCAATCGTTTGAACCAGTTTTGCTTAAAAGTTTCTATTAGCCGAGCTTAAAAGAATGTGGATGAAACTAACCTAGATCAACTAGATCGGCTGTTCCAAACATATGAAAACCAATGACAGTCCTATGATATGCCCATTTATTTTTGATAATGTTACATTTACAAAAAATACCATATAACCTGTTTAATAATGAATCATGTATTGCCTCTCATTATTTAATCTAAAGCTGCATTTTCTATAAACAGCACCATGTGGTGAAGAAATTGATTTAGAACTAGAGGGTGGTGTAGCTGCAATTCAGCTCCGGACGGAAGAATTCAACGGCACAGAATTTTACAGGTATTTCATGTTGAAAATTCAAAATAATTGTTATAAGACAGATTTCTACTACGGCGGTAGAGGAAAATTTGTTTCTACGTGACTTGAGTATACCAAGTAAAACAATAAAACACACACAATAAATGAAGCTAACTCTTATCTCACAAGATATTAGTCTATTTATAAGCTGTAAATATGTTATGCACCAAAACAACCAATCTTGTTATTTCACAGATGGTAAAGTAAACAATCTCAAAACATTTAGATATCAAGAAGAATTTGAAGGTTTTTATGGATATAGGGTATACCATCATCAAAACTTTTCTGAACTTTGTTGTTAAATTAAATCTGAAGATTTCAGTGTATATCCACTGCTTTTTCTTAAGTCCTGTCCATACACATTTCCGTAAGTTAAGCCTTCATTATATGACACTTAAACAATCAGGTAAATATAAACTAACTTTCCAAAGTGAGAAAATTTTAATTTGTTTTCTCAGCCACCAACTATATAACAGTTCTAGGAAAAGTAGAAATATTCAAGTAATAATTTACATGTTATGTGATTAAGAAACTATTGACTGATTTAACAGTATTTATCACCCTATTTCAAGTACGTGACGAACGCAATAAGTGCTATTGCAGCATATTTTGTACATATTTAGGTCATAATTACAATTTGAAATGCGTTAATTACTTTCTTTATTCGCTACAAACCTTTTTTACATTTAAATACATTTAAAAAAAAAAGATTCATGAAAGTTTGTATGAATCTGGGGGCATGCTGGCTTTAATTAAGAAGACATAATACTTTTAAGAAGTTAACAAACGACCTGATTTACAGATTTCTATTGTATATAATATATGAAAAACAAGATCAACAAGGAAAGGCGGCGTTCAATGAACGCAACCCCCATATGACCCAGCAACAAGAACCAATGGCAAGGAGCCCAGGTTTTCAAGTTTATTCAAATTGCAATCTCCTTTCTATTCAGAGTAAATGAAGACTGTAAATGGACGGTTAAGACCGCTCAAGATCATTTCATGATCTTAAAATCCGACTACTTCAGCGTCGAAGAGAGCGAGAACTGTATGTAAGTAATCAATAGTTTTCTAAAATTCATATTGTAACCTATATAAAGCTAGTACAATAGAGTAACTGGGAGTCATTTTCTGTCTCAGGACTTCAGTTATGCAAAATTTATGTAACTGAAGTTTTGAGGCATAAATCGATTTCATCTCCCCTTGTTAAGCAAACTGTCATACAGGAGTTGTGACATGCCCTCATAGAGGAGTGGGTTCGAATCCCACAAGAGCCATACGCAGGCTTATCAGTGGCATAATGAGACAGTGTCAGGTCGTAATCATCGCAAATGGGCGCAACACTCGATATTGAGATCTTTTCACTTTTGGCCATTCCACTTGTATCACCATGCACACTGTTCTCATGCTTCAGTGATTATCCTACGAGGGATAGATTGATTTTGACTTGTGTGATATCTTTTATATATACTTCTCTGGATCTGATAGGGATCACGATGGTGTATATTTTTTATTGGTATACAACAATTAATTAGTTAAAAGTAATGTTTTGATAATTTTGATATTAAAGTGTATAAATTTATTGTTTTTTTTTTGTTATATTGCACGTTGCGTTGTCGATAGCGACACCGCAACCTATATCGTTATCGCCTTTTCGTCTTGTCGCTAGCTACAACACGGCAAAGCGCCTAACGGCGCGTTGTCGCGCGGTCGTATTGTCTCTAGCGAAGCACGCAAAACGGCGCGTTGTCGCAATGCCGCCCTGTCGCTTGGCTTATAAGCCAATCCTTCGATTTGAACCGAGCGACAATATGACATCGCGACAACACGCCGCACGACAACGCGCCGTTTGGCGTACATCGTTAGCGACAGGACGACAAGACGAAAGTCCGACAATGCGCCGTTTGGCGCTTTGTCCTGTTGTCGCTAGATCCAACACAACGCACAAAAGCGTTCCAAATCAGCCACCAAAGCTATGTTATATTTCAGGCTCTCATAAATATGGCATAAACATCTCTGTACTGGTCAGGGGAAGTAACCACTGCGAGAAGTTTTATTGTATTCACAAACTCCATGTAACGGTTATTTTCCCTGATCAGTAGTGCGGTTTGTTTAGCAGACGTTTGGCTATTTGTCCCAATTTTCATGGTTGATCAGTTCAATCAAATTTTATGTTGAATTGTTGACAGGTTGAAAAGTGACCCGGGTTCAGTTTCCAACGTTGAAAAATGAAAACAAAAGAATTCAACAGGGTCAAAATTTAATGTTACTCCAGCAGCATAGAAATTGAATCGTTGCAACTCTAAACATACCATAGACACCTTAATGTCATGCTAAGCAGTCTTCAAGGACAGGAAATAAGTTATCTCTGACATCTTCTACACAACACAAATCACACTGATATACATTGATCTACTGTTCCCAGCCTTAATATAAAGATAAAGATAAAGATAACATACAATTTTGAAAAAGAAAATAGTTTTCATGGAACATTGAATGTCACACACTTGTCATTCAATGAAATTCTGCATCTGATACTCAAAATAAAAGTCACGTGGTACAACCTCTTTAATAAGATGCTTGCATGTAAAAGCCAATGTGTTTCGTATGTTTATGTATGAAAATCTGCATCGTCACGTAAAACCCAGCTTTGTTTTCACAATACCGGTAATTCTCTAAAAATTCATAGAAATAAACACTTCACTGTTAGAAAAATCTGTAGTGGTTGGTCTTATGGTATACACTATACTTAAATTATATATCCCGGCTAACCACTTAAAAGTTTATAAGAGCATCCACTTGTAGTACAATGTCGTAGCCTGACAAATTTACACATTGTTTGTGTTCCGCGAAGTGTATTATTTCAACATATGTCAACTGCAATGTCGGATCTTGGTCGTATTTTATTGTTTATGAACTGATGTGTACTGAATATTTTGTCTTCCCTATAATTATATCATCATTTAAATTCAACAATATTAAAGGAGAGTTATAGCAAAGCTTGCCAGCGGCATTTTTTAAACTTTAATTGACACCAGTCGCGAACAAGTGTAGATGGTAAGGTACATTCACCACTGCCAGCAGGTTATCCAGATAGGCCATGCCAATCTTTTGAAAATAAATGCCACCCTTTTGGTTACATATTTGGCTATTTCGACCATTATTTTTGTGTTTATTTGCTTACAAAGAAACATATACTTATCAGTAAAATAAAATTGTAATTTGTGACTTTTAAAATGACAACTCTATCACAAACAATAACACGGTTCGATTGTAATAAAACTCTTTACATAATAAAAAAAAATTATTTTTTTAATACCATTTCAAAAAAAGAGCAAAACGAAAAAAACAAAAAGGTTTATATCACACATGGTACATGTACACGGTTTATAACAAGCATTTTGAAATATAATTTTAGGTCACATATTTTACAATATAGGAAAATCACATATAAAGAAAAAAATCAATACAATACTGAGCAATGGGATATCTAATACATACAATGCAATACATCACATATACTGACAAAAATCCATGAACCAATTATATATTTATACCTATAAATTACCTCTGTCAATGAATAATGAAGAGTACTAAATTTAAGCGGAGAACAAACTATAACTTCGCTTTTAATCGAATTTGTTTGACAAAATATTTATATAATATAAAGAAAGAACATCACAGTATATATAGTTAAAACAGCATCATAATACTATTTAATAACTAAGATTTCTAGAGATATCATTTCGTCTGATTTTTGCCTTTTTAAATAATAACATATTAAGTTTGTAAGTACTTTATGACTTTTAGATTGCAGTAATTCTATAAATTTGGCCATACTAGGCTACAACTTGTCTTATTTATGATATCACAGTTTCATTTGCACACAATTTGTAACAGGAATAGATCTTTGTTCCTTTCTTGAAGCGTTTATTCGACTCACAGTTTTGCTAACGTTTTCTCTTTGAAAAATATACAAAACATCGACAACCAATAAATTCTGATCTCTGTTAAAACTTGTAAGATTCAGTCATTGGGATTAAAGTTTCCATATGCATTTTCAAATTTTTTATACCCAAGGGGTTTTAAATCATTCCTTTTTTTTAAATTTTTAATTAAATTTTTTTTTTCCTTTTTTTTTAAGGTTTTGTTTCTCAAATCCCCCAAAACCTTTCCCTTTTAAAATGTGGCCCTGTCAAAAAAAAAAAAATTCGAACCTTCCTTTTTTCAAATTATGAAAAGCATTTTTAAAAATGCAGGGAAATCTTGTTTTGCCATTTTTTGCACCTTTTTAAAATAAAATTTTTTTTAAAACCTTTTAAAATAATTTCTAAAAAACAAACCAAAAATTGGTTTGGTTTTGTTTGGGAATCATGAAAAAATTTTCCCTTTGATTTATGTTCGAAACGCCTGCAGTGGTAATACTCTATTTTTATCTTGCTTTTTTAAAAAAAAAATTTTAGGATATATGGGTTTTTGAATGACTTAAGGTAACATGCTTTATGCGTCTGATTTTAAAAACAATTTTTTAATAGTTTTATTTTAAATATTTTGGTACTGGGACTAGTTGAGATTACAGAAAAGGGCTTGAACAAAGCAAAAACTGTGGGTTTGGGGCCCATTGACATATATACATTTTGGACAAAACCCCCTACAGTTCAAGTCGATTGTCATAAAGGGCAAGGGTTTAAAAATTTACCCTCGAGTCGGGAAAAAAATTTTTTCTTTCCACTTTAAAATGCCAAAAAATCCACGTTTTTGATTAAATCTCATCAATTAAGCAATGTTCAGAGTCAGAATAAATCAACATAAAATCCATATTGTACTCCGGGTAATTCTGTTACAATACAAAATTATGTTGATTTCTAATGTTTTCTTTAGCTATATGTGCATTTTCATTTACAATTTATGGTCTGATTTATATTATTTATTACAATACTGAGTCTTTTGGATTTTTGCAGAGGTTAAAAACGTTTATTGGACATCATTAGCGTCTTGTTCAATATGGACTTTACAGCTGTTTATTCGACCATGGACCCTATACTAGTAATTAAAATAAATAGAGCAAGGGATGAAATAATCAATGTCTTTTGTAAAAAATGATGAATCCTATTGTAGGAGGTGGAGATGACTCTAAGTGCATTGGCAGTATATTGGGTGGTGAAGATTCAAGAATAATGAATAAAGATGATTTAGGAGAGGATTGCTTTTACAGAATACAGGTAATATCATGGCAATATTCCACTTTACAGGTGGAGAAACGCTCAAGTGCACCTTTGTAAGCTAGCTAGCTAGATCATATAATATAATTAAGTCCCTGGCAGGATTCGAACACATAGCGGATAGAGGCAAGTGGTTTTAAATTAAAGACTTTCAAAACCAATTAACTGAATACAATCGATATACGTAATGTTAATCGAGCTCATTGCATATTATCACTTAATTTATATTATGAAAAGCATATGTCAATCGATCCAGTGCTGTCAACCGCCTTCCACCGTCAACAAGTAACCATTTTATCTGATCTTAATAAGCAATTGTCAGAATTTTTATCTCAATGGTTTATCAGATGATCTTAGGTATAAACACTAAGCCATAACGTTAAACTGCAGAGGTCATAATTTTCAAACGTTGTTGGAAAGTGTCTACTGTGTAATCTCACAAGAGCTTGAAAATGCGATTAATCAGGTAAAAAGTAGACCGAATCACAGAAAATCTTGTTACTACAATTTTCATTTGATGTTTATTAGACTTTTTTCAAAACGACGTTGGGAAAATTTCTTCTTCGCTTAGTGTAGATTTTAGTTCAACATATTGTTATGGTATGGATTACTTGCCCTTGTTACTACGTTTATCGTAGTTAAGTAGGCAGGGAACCAGAAATATTTTTATCATTTCTCTTTCTCTATTCTCTTTATCTGTTATCATGTTAGAATTGAAAGAGATATAAATTTGTAGTATATTAGTGTTTCAAATTATTTTTGTCCAATAGGATTGCCGTATTTCAAAGTGATCATAACACATTTACTTTGGTAAATCGGCAAACAGTCAATCATCCTAGTAAATCGACTGTTTATAAAATATATTAAAACACTTAGCTTGTTAAAATTTATGAGTATGTTTATACAAAATTAAATTGGGTGCGCGACTGTGCCTTGCTTGACCAATTTAATTTTATAAATACATAATAATAAACTTTAACCTATACACAATGCAATGTTTATCGTTAAAATGCTTTGTAATTCGCCCTTCATGATTATATTCCTGCGCATTTGAACTCGAACCGTGCATTATTCTACAACAATGTGCTCAAAATTGAAATATATTTCCTCAATCAGATATAAATTGATATAAGTGAAAATATTGATTATGTGTACTTAGTTGAAAGCGAATTACATGGAAGGTCCTAAAACATAATGTTGATAATAACAGAGTCGGCTTATCTATATATAACAGTTTAATTATCTTCGATATGGATATTAACAGTTTGTGACTCGAGCACGGGCTAAATATAAATATTAAATATGGTGAGTATATGTAACAAAGGCTTAATACGTTAACATATATGATTTTTTTCAGGCACCCGGGGACAAAGTTATTACATTGGACTTAAAAATGCTAGATTTTGGCTCGGCTAGTTGTGAGGAGGAAAGTATCATCATTTATAAAGGCCAGAGTACACGTAAGTATTTTAATGCATTTTAATGACTAACTGAGTTTATATAAAGCACAAACCTAATTGTGTCTGTTTAATATATTTTTTCTATTCATACTGAAAACAACAATTCCAACCGAAGAAAAAATGGACCACAGTTATCTTCTGCCGAATATGCCAATCAGACTGAAATTCAACTTAAACATCGTCAATAACATCGTTTGATTTAAAGAATTGTTGTGGTAGCAAAAACATAATGAAGAAAATTAAAAAGAGTAGAATCGATTCATGTTTGCCATTCTTAGAGCATAGGGCCGCCCTTATTCGTTAGCGGTTATTCACCTGCCCAATTATTAATGGTAAGAAACATAGCCTACCTACAAATGGGAAACAGTTTCTACCTGAAAAAAATCACCATGATGCAAACAATGATAATACATGTAAAATACTTTTCAATTGAGCAGAGATGCAGAAATATCAGATGTTCTTTACAATCATTGTGCATCTTCAGTAACATGTCTAGTCAGCTACTGTATGTTGAACATTTATGAAGACTACATATTGCATCTCCCATCAACAACAAAACAAAAAGAACTTGCTGTTAATGTATTTAGTTACCAAATAAAGCAGAGTTAATGTTTGAATTATAATAAATACTTTTCTTATCGGAATGAATGGCATGTATACATCTTCATTATACTTAAACCCTTAATTCTTTAGCATACTCTAAATGAATGACTAAATGACATAAAACAATGTCAAAAATATCTTAATGCTTTACTTTAAAAGAATGTCCTTTTGGTTGGCAATGCTATGTTTTGCATCGATGTTTTGCTCGATCATATTTATTTATAACAATATTCTGAGAATATACATTATGTAATTACTTTTCAGAAGGAACAGCCCTCGGTACAATATGTAGTGACACTGTTCCGGGAATTTTGCCCTATCATGCAAGTTCAATGTTTATTGAGTATAGAAATCCTCTTAAACAAGAAGGTGAACGTTTTACAATTGATTATATTTTTGTCGAGGACAACTTTACTCCAGCACCTGTACCATCAACAACCCCATCTCCAGTTGGTGGAAATAATGGTAATGCTTACTATTGTTACAGAATTCAGAAAAAATAAACATTAGTAATAAGTGCAATTTGCACCATATTCAAATTAACGGATTCGCTTTCGGTATGACAAAAAATCAAATGCAATGTTTTTTTTTTAATAAGATTATCATTATATTGCTTCGCTTTCAGACTGTAGTCGAATGTACAAAGGAATCGATACAGACAGCGGCATTTTGGTTTATACCGCACCTGAATACGAAAACAACAAAGATTGTATAGTTGTTGTACGTAATGATCAATTACCGAATCACGTGGTACAGATAGAATTCGACTACTTCGACATTGAAGAATCGGACAACTGTATCTTTGATTCCTTGAGAGTTCTATCTGGAGAAAGAAATGGTATTTAAATTGTACTTTCAAGTGTTTGCATATTCTAAAGCTAATTTATATAAGATACACTAGCCGTTCTTATTTTCTCCCTTCCATATTTGCAAATACGTAAATTGACGACGTTATTTTGTTTGAAAAATCTGATAAATAAGAAACAACTTTTTGTTGAATTTTGCTCTGAAAACAATCTAGAATGATAGACAATGGTCTAAGAAAATAAATCAGAACACCAATAGCCTTAATTCATTCATTAGTGCTGTACAGACGTTTGAAGTGTTGTAAATGCGACGTCACAATGCAGCGCCAAACAGCGCCTGCAAAATCGTCAAAAATAACGTTATTTCAATATTGCAGAACGAGCAGTTAAATATCACTTAAAGTTTTCTATAAATACTCTGTATTTCGCTTGAAAAATATAAAAAAAATCTATTTCCTAAGTATAAGCCATCTTCGACGGAATTATTTTGATGACCTGATTCTATCATTAATTCGACAGACTCAGCATTGCTTGGTGGACCATACTGCGGTGAAGGTCTACATGGGCGAACTTTCCTAACACGCGGCAACTCTCTTCGCCTTGAATTCAAAACAGACGTGTCATTTGCCCTACAAGGATTTCAAGCAAAAATTTCATTCGTACCAAATACAGGTAAAACAATTTGCTGCAATATTTGTGTGTAGTATACTAGCTCTTATTTAATTAACTATAAACATGTTCTATTTTACAAACTGCTATGAATATCTTCTGTAAATATGTTTATGTTTTTTAACATAATTGATTTATATTCTTTTCATAGTTATCTATATGTTATGTTTTATCTATGGAAATATAGAACTTTAGTGTGTTTTACTATAATTACAGAATGCAGATGCAATGGAAATAAGATGTGCATTCGCCAGGACTTTGAGAAAAAGTTAGTTTTGCTTATTTCAATTTTAGAAAAAGTTTGAAATAGAAATTGGTATACGAGGGACGGTCAGAAAATATCCGGACTTTTCATGCTCCTCTCTTTCCACATGTAGCTATACACACATTATATGAATATGAATAATTTTATTGAACAAAAGGCAAATGCCTGTGAGTACATATATACAAACATATAATACAAGTGTTTTTTACAAAATAATCAGTGGCGGTCTAATTCTATATACATTATCATATATCAGAGGGCAAAATACTGTGTATACACAACTATGATTGAAAATAAACTGACCACGTTATTGGCGAATGAATGTAGTTTTCACCATTTATATTTTATTGATTGATACTGTTGTTTCACCAATTGCCTCATATTTTTTGCAAAATGATAATGATTGCATGCAGTGATGATTGATATTTTTTACGAGGTGTTTCGTCTATCATGGACTCTTTGTTAGAGGAACAACGCTCTGTAATAAAGTTTCTGGTTGCAGAAGGTGAAAAGCCTTGCCACATCTTTCAGAGGCTTAAAAAAGATTTTCTGATAAATGTGTATCACGTTCAACCTTCTACTACTGGGTTTCTCAGTTTCGTGAAGGCAGAACAAGTGTTTGTGACAGGCCTAGGACTGGGCGGCCAGCTGAGGCGGTGACCTCAACAATGGTAGCAAATGTTAAAGCTTTTGACAACAAAAATGTCGAGTAACTTTGGAGGAGGTAGCCAACAAGTTAAGCATCGGTAAGGCATCGGCACACAAGATTTTACACGAATACCTAGGCATGAGCAAGGTAAGTGCCAGGTGGGTGCCTAGACAGCTGTCCGCAGATCAAAAGGCAACCAAAGTAACCAATGCAAAAGAACATTTAAGTCGTTTTAATCGTGAAGAAGATAAGTTTTTGAACCGCATTATCACTGGACATGAGATGTGGGTTCATTATATCGAACCTGAAACAAAAGCTCAGTCAAAGCAGTTGAAATGAGCTGGTTCCCCACCTCCTAAAAAGTTTAAGCTGTCTCCTTCGGCTGGCAAAGTCATGCTTGTTGCTTTTTGGGATTCACGAGGAATGATACTTACTCATTTCATGCCAAAAAGTCAAACTGTCACAAGTACTATTCTGAAGCAATTCTGAAAAATCCCAGAGAATTGCTGATGCAAATGCGTCCCAGGTTAGCACAGAAAAATGTCCTCCTTCTTCACGATAACGCCCTCTCCCATACTGCCGCAGCTACAGTGGATGTTATCAACTCTTACAAATGGCAATTGTTGTCTCACCCTCCTTATAGCCCAGACCTCGCCCCCTGTGACTTTTATTTGTTTCCAGAACTGAAAAAATTGCTTGCTGGAAAGAAATATAAGACCAGGGCGACTTTGATATCTGCTGTTACACAGTACCTAAAACATAGGTCTACGTCATGGTTCACAGCGGGAATACAAAAGCTCCCACGAAGTGCGTAGACGTAGGTGGAGAATATTTTGAAAAAGGGTAGAAAGATTTTTTTTTAAATGTTGAATAGTTTTCGAGAACAAGTCAAAAGTCCGTATATTTTCTGACTTCCCCTCGTAGTTTATGGAATGATTAGGATAATAGAAAATTTGAAACATTGCTGCTTTTCATTAAATCCGAACTTTACGGTAGCAAATCATATTTATAAACATACCAAATACAATGTACTCGTAGATTAAAAAGAAATTCAGAAATCCTTGACCAGACTATTAAATAAAGTTGTAATCAACGATGCCTTGCCCAAGATACTCTTTGTGTGTTTAAATGTAAATTTTATATATTTAAAGATGTATTCGCGGACAAAGGTGTGAGGCAAATAGCTGTCAAAATGGCGGAACGTGCATAAAAACAGGTTCTGAAGCGACATGTTACTGCCCTAAAGGTTTCCAAGGAGAAGATTGTTCACAAAGCGATGTAAGAATATCTTGTTCAATCTTTTAATGTTTAATAAATTATGTTTCAGAGAAAGCAACTTCGATCCGATTAATTCGTATTTGTATGTAATGTTAATGTAATGAAGATTGTTCATACATGTGTTTGTCTTTATTGTGTTTGACAGGTTCTATAAATATTTGCAGCACTGCCGTTTGTATTACTGGACAGTCCGTTTACATTCTGAATGACATCTCTTAAGCTATGAATACTTTTACTAGAGATATCTCAATGTGCCACTTAAAATATTAGTCTATGCTATATAAATGTTTTCATTTTTCGTTTATTTTTGTCTTCATTCAAATTTGCTTAAATGGAATACTTCGCATATAAAGCTTCATCAATCTTTTAATGTTTTTGTTTATGAAAAAGCAACTTTGATTCGATTAAGTCGTATTTGTATGTAATGTTAATGTAATGAAAATTGTTTATACATGTGTTTATTTTACTTGCGTTTGGCAGGTTCTATAAATATTTGCAGCACTGCCGTTTGTATTACTGGGCAGTCCGTTTACATTCTGTATGACATCTCTTAAGCTATGAATACTTTTACTAGAGATATCTCAATGTGCCACTTAAAATATTAGTCTATGCTATATAAATGTTTTCATTTTTCTTTGATTTTTGTCTTCATTCAAATTAGCTTAAATGGAATACTTCGCATATAAAGCTTCCATTTTAATATCTTAATGACAACGTTAAATAACTTCGTTTTGGTCTGTCAATTAAACATTTGATTGTAAAGATGATAAGTACAAGTAGTACTTGTTAGATTTGGAAAATATATCAAAAGTGATTTTATTCTTTTTTTGCTTAGATCTATTTGTTAAATTTGCTTTGGTGACAATTAAATTCATTTATTTAAATGTCATTCCAATTTTTACTCATTATTTGCCAGGGAGAAAAGTCTTACCATATACGCTTTACCAAAGCACCGGTAGACCGAACGATAAAGAGAGGTGAAGGTCACGTCGAAGAATGCGAAGTTGAGGTTCCATATGGAGAGGAAGTAGAGTATAATTGGTAAGATTAGATAGTATATTGTTAAACGAAAACAAAGGAATGTACATTTATTACGTAAACTGTTAACAGACAACCGAGAAGGTTCCCGTTTTATAACACTTCTCGTTCCCTTTCAATTTTTATGTACTTGTACTGAAATATACGAGCACATAATTATAGTTTGAATTTCTGATAAAGGATAACTTTAAGATTTTTAAACCTCGGTTATCGTTTAATGCTCTGTTAACTGTATTATTTCATTTTCTGTTTCTTATGCGAATTTTAATTACAAAATTTTGCATTTATCAACGAAATTATACTATATTTTGTGTCTAATAAAATGAAAGAGCGCACCATATTATAGAAAGACAAATTTAACAATTGTAGTTGTCTTCTGACTTTGCATTTTATTTTCGGTGATATAATGTACAGATAAGGTGGTTTTATTTAAGATAATGCTTGCAATCGGCACTTACAATCCACGAATATTAACAAAAAAGGGATTAACATATGCAAAAACAGTCCTTACTGCGTTCCTAACACAGTAGAAATGTTTCAACCAAACTTTACAGGAGTGATCAGTACCTTCAGTAGTTGTGTACGTCACCGGCACGTTCCGCTTAGCTGCACAAAATGGCAGCCAGAGCTAAAAATAGAAAAATCTTTTCCGCCCTTCACAGGTCCAACGACTGGTGGGATTTCAACAAAACTATACAGGAGTGATCAATATCACCCCTAGTTGTGTAGGTAACCGGCACGTGCCGCTTCGCTGCACAAAATGGCCGCCAGAGCTTAAAAAAGAAAAATCTTGTCTGGCCTTCACAGGTCAAACTACTGGTGGGATTTCAATCAAACTTAATAGGAGTGATCAGTACCATCCTTAGTTGTGCAGGTCACCGGCACGTTCCGCTTCGCTGCACAAAATGGCCGCCAGAGCTAAAATACAAAAATCGTGCCCGCCCTTCACAGGTCAAACTACTGGTGATATTTCAACTAAACTTTTCAGGAGTGATCAGTACAATCCCTTGTTGTGCAGGTCACCGGCACGTTTTGCTTCGCTGCACAAAATGGCCGCCAGAGCTAAAAATTTAAAAATCTTGCCCGGCCTTCACAGGTCAAACAACTGGTGGGATTTCAACCAAACTTTACAGGAGTGATCAGTACCATCCCTTGTTGTGCACATCACCGGAACGTTCTGCTTCGCTGCACAAAATGGCCGCCAGAGCTAAAAATAGAAAAATCTTGTCCGGCCTTCACAGGTCAAACTACTGGTGGGATTTCAACCATATTTTACAGGAGTGATCAGTACCATCCCTAGTTGTGCACATTATTTTCACATTCCGTTTCGCTGCACAATTTGGTCGCCTTTTCAATAGGGTTGAATACCAGTACTATTTAGGTTGACATTCATATGAAAGTAATATTTATTTCGGGAAGAATGGTGTTCTTTTTTTCATTGCTCTACCTCATAATATTTTATTTGTTTTTCTACGCCCGGCTACCTTCGGGACGTATAATAAATAGTATTGCGTTTTTCGCCCGTCTGCCCGTTCGCCTGTCCGAAACATAATTTGGGTTTTTGTGACTACAGCTTTTCTTCTTTTAAATTATTCATTACATACGTTTGTATGTAGATAATTTTCTTAATGTGGCTAAAATGAACAATAAAAAATGGAGCACCCATTCTCCGATTGATATTATTTAAATTAACAAGAAAATATTCAAATCATTTACTTGAAGAATACATCCTGATCTCAAAAACAAATTTTGATGAAATTGAAACAATAAAAGGGCAATTAACATAGGTGAATTCGTTCATTGTTTAGAAGGCAAGTCTATGGTCAAGTTTCAGTATATAAACACATCTTCATTGATGATCATCACTATTCTGTGAGAAGAGGTGTTAGCTGTCAATTTTAGTCATCATGGTATGGACTCTTTATTTTAGTCGTATATCTCTTTCGCCTCTTCTAACACCTATTGTTAGTACGACAATGATGACCATAAAAGGATAGGAGTTAGACAAGGCACATTTTGGCAAATTTGATTAAACACGTTTTTATCATTCTAAGTTACAAGTCATCATTGGTGGTAAAACCGTTCAAGCTGCAAGATTTAAATAACGGTTACATGTAAAAAGAGGAGTTGTTCCCCTTGGAAAATGGCGGCAATAAAGTAATTATTCAGCATGGGAGTAGATATTGACATTTACAGGATGACAGTAAAGTGTTTCATTGCATCATTTAAATCGAAAATATATATTTTCATGAATTAAAAGTAAGATGAATATACTTGTCAATATGTATATTGATGTTTATCACGTTGGCATGCCTAATGGTATGTCATGATGACATTGAGACTCAACCTGACCTGGCCCTGGATTGGTAGTTTAACGCAGCCCATGCTCAAGCTAGCATCGGTCAATCAGTTAGATGTATTATATAGCACCTTCTGATTTCTTTAAGTATGTTATAGGGAACAAGGATGAGTCTGACCACTTTCCGGTAAATTGTACATCTACACTACCTGGTATACAGAGAAATGTTGGCATATTATCTGCGGATGGAAGTTATCACCTATTCTCACAAGATAGGCCCAACTTGCATTGACCAAATGTTAAAAAATGAACTTGTTTTTTACCAAAGTTTTATGACATAGACGTTTATACAAATATGTGTCCGACATACTGGGAAAGTTTCATCACTCAAACTTGATTATTATCTGTAGAACAGTCACTGAAACAAATTGAGTACTTTTTCAAAATGTAATTTACGTTACCTTAACTAAAAATAAATCGATGGTCATATTAAAATTATTTTGATATATACTATCAATGCATTTGATACAAATATTCACTTCGATAAATAATTTGTCAAAGTAACATTACATATTTTATACACAGGTTTTTATAAAACCGTACACCAAGCTTTAACTTTCTCATTTATTTTGGGTTGAGTATTTCTGGAAAATATGTTCATCAGTAAAAATAGCGACATAAACAAACTCATAGTTGTACTTATTTTGTTGATTTTAATATGAAATATAAGCACAAAATATTAAGATACAACAGTATTTCACTTTAAAATATATTTTATATGCAGCATACGCCAATACAAACAAAACTATGAAATGGTAACGTAAATTACAATGTATGCAGCTTTAACTGGGCAACAGCATAAACTTTAAAATTAGAAATAAAATGACATCTTTGTTTCATTTTTGGCTTTTTATGCATCTTAGATGTAATTATCAGTAACAAGTTAGTCGACTGAGATAATATAATGAAAGGTTTATGCTTAAACATATTCAATTATCAATTTCTTTAAAAAAAACTAATAACTTAAGGACGCAAAGTACCTCGTGGATGCCATTAAGTTATATCTTTTTATCATATATATATATAATATAACAAAGACTATGACTGGGTTTTAAAATGTACTTTAATACCAAAAATAACAAATGAACAAAATAAAATAATTGACCAGTTATGGTAACGTAGATTACCTCATATTCAAGGATGTTAATATATGTTTCAACATGTTCAACAATAAAATGTTGTTATTGCAAAAGAAAATCAATAAATTCTTAAATTGAAATGGAAAAGTCTGATCAAATGCATAAGAAAATATTTTTTACTCTCTCTTAAACATGATGTTTATTTAAAAAAAAAAAAAAAAAAAAAAAAGCAACAACAACAACAAAAAAATAAACAACAAAAACCGGCTTTGTTAGAAACATTGAATCATTTCTTTAAAGTAACGTGGCCTTCAGTTTTTATGAAGATTTTATATGTTTCAATATAAAAGTCAAATAAAAAAGAAAATGGTGGAAAATCATACTTGCCATCATTTAAATACAGAAACAATAATGAAACTCCTCGATACATCTAATTTACCTGTCTGCTATCTATTTGTAAATAAGTAAAGCGGGCGATTCGTTTTCTGATTTTCTTATTTTTAGAAACGAACATCACCGGTGTTCTTTAAAATTCAATATATCTTTAGACACTGTTTTAAAGTAGTTTTTACAGTGATATGTTGCACTTTTGTAAGATAAAATAAATGAAATACTTAATTAGAAACCAAAAATATTTTTTGAACAGAATATGAAAGCTGGAGGCCGCTTTAAATGAATCTAATCTCGTCCTCTTTTATGCTGAAAGAGCGCCCACAACAACTAACTTTGGATGACTCATCTATGCATATAAAACATCTTGACACAAATCTTGTTGTCATTGTTTGACCATTTGAAAGTTAGTGCTTTGACTCCTTTACATTTAAGTTTTTGCTAGTATGAAACAAGAAAATCGTCAACTCCTCAATCAGTTCAATTTTAAGGAACCAATATGCTTATAACTACTATTTTCCTGTTTGATGGTGCTTGAACTTACACCATATTTATCATCGACAATTATTTTGTCTTCATCTTGAACACAACCAGGCCAATTAATTTATTAACTTGTATTTGATGTTCAAGCTCTTTCATTCTGTGTCAATTTCTGGATACTTTATCTCTGGTCGCTAAAGCCGCTTTTTATATTTTCACTGTCAAACGTGAGAATGATTTTGTTCTTTTTTGCTCTCTTTCAAGGTATTTTACTCCTTAAGATAACTTTTTTCCTCCCACAAGAGGCTCGCTGTATTTCAGCCTAGGCTATACCCATACTTGCTGAAACAAAAAAAAAGTAATCTACGTTACTTATTTTGTAATCAACGTTACCATTTTTAGAAACTATTTATTTATGCCTAAATATCAGTTTTTCCTCCAGGAACAAGCAGTTTTATTACATTTAACTACTATATTATTATCCACAGTATAGGAACATGTCAAATATTTGGAGAAGAACTACTTATTGGTGTTGCAGATATCACAAGTTGATATTTTCGTAATCTACGTTACCAACATTGGTATCACATTTGTCACACCTTTTTAAAATATTAGATGATCTGGTATAACACAGATAACATACAAGCATCTGTGTAGGTCTGTTATGATGAAAATTTATGAACAAAATATTTTGGTAAGTAAAAATGGAGACCAAGAAAGGAAATTATTTGTTACAAACTTAGTGGGCTATGTAACTAAAATTTGCAATATATGTTTGAATTTATAAATGTATCAGATCAATTTTATTAGAATTTAAGGTGTATTATTTAATTATAATCTTAAAATTACAATAAAAAACAACATTTTTATTACTTCGCCTGTTTTGTTTTGCTGAAGATAACTGGAACTCAGTAATATAGTGTTTCTGCGCGGAAATTGCAAATGCAAATGGCGGAATAAGTGGCAAATTTGAAATAAAGGGAAACAAACTATGTGTATATTGATCTAGAAGTTTATATTACGGAACCTTGAAACAGTTTAACATTATCTGGGACATGAAAATCAAATTATTTGCCGAAATTGAAAAACCGTGGTAACGTTGATTACATTTCGTAGATTACATCTGTATTGTCACGAGCATGAATTTTTTTACATACGATTAACTTATACAAAATATAAAGTATTGAATGTTTAGCAAGTCTATTCTAATTGATAATAGTCTGTTAAGAGCACCCTATGCTACAATATTTGAGTAATAGCAGTAACGTAGATTACAGTCTTAACTTTACTTTACAAATATTAAGTTTGTGTTTCTGGTGTAATTTTTTTTTATGAAATAAGTTAATCATTGTATTGCATTCCGTTTATACTATGTTTTGTTAGTATATACGTCTGTTTAAACCCCTTTTAATGTGTTTATTGCCTGTGCATTTTTGTTCGCAAACTAAGTAACGTAGATTACATTGGGTTTGGAGACAAGAAAGTTTTGTTTCAAAACGAAAAATGCAAAGAGCTTTACTCAGAATTTATTTTAAATGTCAAACTTCAATATATCACCAAACAAAAAATAAAAAAAATATGTTCAGTTTTGACAAAATGATGCAGCACTTATGTGTTGAATCATGTAACCCTTTACGGAGACAGCGTATTTTTCTTTTAAATTGATATTATTTGTTTGTTTCTTTTTTTAAATACCAGTTTCTTACATCTATTGTGTATATGAGTTAAAGGTAGGAACCATGTAAAGTTGAAAAAATAACAAAACTCAACTGTATAAGTGTATATGTTTTCACTTTCGTTAAGAGACATTCAAATTTCAAACTTGGGCCTATCTTGTGAGAATAGGTGTATATTATTTCCGATGGTTTTATGCCCTTATGTCAACTCCAGGTTTTTGTTTGTTGCCCTACTTGGGTTTGTCGGTTGGCTGCGTTCTGTAAACGTTGCCTTTACCTTGTTGTTCTTTATTCTTGTTTTTTTAGTGGAAGAAGGGTATGAAACAATCGTTTGACGCCTTATTCTGATTTAAATTTAATATCGTTAACAATACCGCCGTATGAACACATTTGCGGCTGTGTCGTAGTTCAATATTTCACCATTTTCGTATTTAAATGTTGAATTCTGCTTAAGCCGGTGCTAGGGAGCGTGGACGGTAGTTTGAACTTGACAGTACAGTTCATGAACAGGCTCAATCAAACCGAGCCTGCAACATTTTCAATTTTGGCGTGTTGGGGTTTCTTTAGGGATTCTAATTTTTTCTATTTAACATAGCCAAAACAGAATAATTCATTGTACTTTTGTTTAAATAAACAAACATATATTTAACAATTCTTGTTTGTTACTTGTAGACGTTTTAATATAGGAAACATCAAATGTTTTATGCGAAATATTACTCAGGTATAAAAATCTTGCCTGCGAATACTTTTTGCACTCACAAAATACATCAAGTATCTCTTCTTCCACTGTTTTCTGCTAAGACAATAGGTACATAAGCTATCAACCAGTGTCCCCAGAAGTCTGCAAAAGTTTGATACCCAGTTAATGACTCGAACACGCCTGTAGTAGATAGAATGCAATGTCCAATTTGAAGAAGAACTCAACATCTTACAAGGATGTGAACTCTACATGCACTGAAAGCAATTGTGAAGATCGCTTGGAAAAAGAGACACCGTTGTATTACAAAACATCCAAGATTAACCATTACGATCACTTTATTGAGTGGGTTCCCCCAAGGTTCATCTTTCAGAGCAAAACAGCATCAAGAGCTTACATTGTCAAGATACATAACGCAAATCAGCCTAGAGAATACTGAGTGATTATGTTCTTTCTTTAACGAAATTAAATCGATATATATTGATTAGTATTGATCACCACCTTTGAAAGATCATATTAAACCCTTTCTGTAAAACAATACCAGATCCTTTACTTTAAATCAAATTCGGATTATAAAATTGAAATAGTGTCAATTGCGAGGTTTACTGTTTATTCTGTTTAGTTACGTACAGTTTACTCGGTTTATTTACACCCCAATTACACAGAGCCATCGGTGATTGATCGGTAGTTTTTTCAGCCAAATTATGGAGTGAACAGATGACAACGTATTTAACACCGATATCACATATTGGACACCTGTTTTCTACCTATCAACTGCTATTAAAGAAAGATACATTTTATCGGTGAAAAAATATCGATTGGGATTTTTATAGATGTTTAAAATGTTTAAAATTCTCGATCGGTGAAAATATTTTACAAATTACCGACAGCAACTTATATCACGAGATATGCAAGCTCTTAATCACCGATATCGCCGTCGGACAAAGATAACCAAATATGAATCACCGGCTATATCTGACGGAAATTGTTTAACCACTGATGAATAGTTATTAAACACCGATTTATCAGCGTTACACCCGATTTAGCTCCGATTTACAAACGATAAAAACCGATAGTATTTCAGCATTTTTATCACCGATCCAACCCCGTTTGAGTTTGCTTTTTTGTCACCGATGCCTGTTTTCACAGAAAATCAGAAATAAAATTATTTTAACAGCGAGTAAATTTAAAATTAAATAACCGATTGGGAACTGGCCCTTTACGTTGGCCTCAAGGAAAGTATCTAGAGTCTGTGTTTTCAAAGACCTTTCAACATGAACCGAGACGGTACAATCAAAATGATAAATTAGTCAGTGAACTGTTTAAACATGTATACAAACAGTTGTACTTAAACGCTAGGAACAGTAGACACATACCTAATATGTTGTTCTGCCAATCAAGGTAGAATTAATCACATGCCGATGTATGACTCGCATGTATGAAACTATGATAATCTGTATTTCTTGTACAAATATTTCCTATGTTGTTTAGGTGTTTTATGTAATGGTATTCCTTTGTTTTATGATATGTTGTTTAATTATTTCATGGCCATCATAAAATAAAAAATAAATGTGAACCAACAAAAGTTTGTAGTAGGCAAAGGTTTCTAATAGAAAAAGTGGCCTATACGTTTCCGTAAACTTGCCCCAAAGTTCCCTATACATTTTGAAAAGTGTTCCATAAGTTCTCGAAATTTTGGAAAGTTGCCCATAATAAATAATTAAATAAATTAATTAATAAATTAATGAATTAAATAATAAATAAATAAATAAATACATAAACAAATTATTTTTTTATAATATTAGGTATACTAGTAAAGGTGAATTTAAATAAACATGACGTTTCAATATTGATAGTTTAAGGGAAAAAGAAAATGTCCCACCTATATATATATATATATATATATATATATATATATATATATTATATATATATATATATATATATATATATATATTCTAGGTCATTACAAGGAACATTGATAGAGCCGTACAATGACAAGACAGGCTTTGGAACTCATCCAGGTGGAGTATTACAGGTGCTTTATGAATTTTCTAGCATTGTAAAATTGAATTATGAGAATTTGTTTACAGATAGGTTACTGTATTTATTTCTATTATATCAATATGAATTCATTCTGAATGATAAAAAGCCCATCTTTTTCTCATTCGCGTATCATATATTTTACTGCTAATGAAATTCTAAATATCTAAATACTTTATATTAAATACTTATTTTTTTCTTTTTGATTGTTGACTGAATAAAGAGGATGAGGTTTTTCATTTTAAAAATTAAGCCTCCTTTGATTGCTGACGCAATCGAGAGGATAAGATTTTTAACACTCGTCGTGATTTTGTCATTATAGACAAAGAAAAAAAACTGCCAATAAACATACACTGGTTAAGGACTTCTTGTATATGCGGTTGTTATGTTTTCTCCATTTGGTTATATAGTTTACAAAGCCTTTTAAAAAACATCTTTAATTTATATTTTAAGTTCTTTAAACGTTTTTTTTTGTTTTCATACAATACCGAAATAATATCTCAAACACACTAACACCACATATTTGATCCATATCAGTTAATAAATATTTTGACAAAACGGCGCTTATCCGTAATCAGCGTAATGACGTCGTCCTAAGTATACAATCATTCATAAACGCTGTCGTCATTTCAAACATACAATAATGATAAATTGGACAATGATGTTAACACAATACAATTGTTACAGTGTTACTTGAACTTTGATTCTAGTAAATTGTTCCTACCAAATAAAAGTCAGATTTTACATGTATTCGGATAATGGCATAATCATGTCGTCAAGTTGGGATGAAAACTCGTAAGAAAGTAACATCTCAATATGGCTTATCAAAATGGAACTGCATACAGTATAAGCATTTGGTGTATGGTACTGAGAATCCACAACATGAACCGGAGATGAGTCAGGTTTGTCCAGATTCCCAAATCATATATATTCAACTTTGCTAATTTCTTGTTTGGTGGTTCCAGTAGTCCTTAGTTGAATACTGTTTAATCACCCTTATGTGGCCTGCTTTTTAAATTTGTCTTTTGACGTCTTATCTGTGATATGCATGCTTCATAACTTCTGATCCCCCTTCAAAATTCCATTTGATTAGTTCCGCCCATTAATTACTCGTTTAGGGCACACACATTTTTTTACTTGGGGACCATATGCCGCTTTTCATGGAACGGCACTTACGTGTCACATTGAAGGTTCCATGATAACCGCCATATGAACACATCTGCGGGTGTTTCAAAATTCAAAATTGTACCAGTTCATGTTAAATGTTGAATTCTGCTTAAGTCAGTGCTTGAGGGCGTGGACGGTAGTTTGTAATTGATAGTACTGTCCATGAACAGGCTTATCAAATCGAGCCTGCAATATTTTCTATTTGCAATGTCGGGCTTTCTATAGAACTTCTTATTTTCTCTATTCTATATTATTTCACTATCCTTATGTTTAAGATTGATGACTTTTCGGACAATTTGGAGGGACAATATTCATGTTTTGCGACAACTTCTGGAGGAACAGCGGAACACACATTTGAGTATAGGATTGCAGAGGATTGTAACGTCAGTAAGTACAGAGCATTAGCAACACAACAAATAATTGCATGTATTAAAAATTAAAAAGATATAAATGGAAATTTATCGAAGAAATTACTAACAGTAACAATAAAATTTACCAATTGCAAAAACACTATCAAATTGTATAAAAAAATAACATATTTTGCGTGTTATCATACACTGCACTAAGACAGAGACAAAGTTTGTGAAATTAATATCCTTATTGTAATATGCATTATAAAAAATAAATGAAATTTAACTGGCCAACTAGTTATTATTTTATCGAATCGCTTCAAAACCGGGAAAGAAATTTTACAAACGCACATTTAAGCAGGTGTTAGGAGCGATTGCACTTTCCACTATGGTCTAGGAACAATCAAACCGAGCCTGCTACATTTTCAATTTTGCCGTTTTTGGCGTTCGTTAAGGTATATTTCCCTTTTTATCTGATTGCTTAAAGATTTCATTAAATGTAATTTGAAATGTTGTTTAATAAATAATACACTGGTTTAATTTCCAACTCTTATACACCATCTGTTTTGAATTATTGTGACGTTTATCAGTTAAGATAGTCCAATTTAGTAATTTTTGGTTGTTTGGTTGTTTTTGACATTGTTTGGCATATTCATATTTACAAGGGATATTCCCTGGACCTCAGTCAGAGAGCAAAAAGATAAACGAAATGGCTTTACTTATATGTCGCGTGGACCATCGGGCCAAAGCGGTTAGATGGAAGAAAGATGGAGTTTACATTGATTATGACAAGGATGATAGAATCAAGGTATGTTAACATTTTTTTTTGGAAAAGAAATCAATTAAGTACGTATTTCCATATGTTTGCAATCATTAATCATTTAATAATTTCCTATGTTTTTTCTGATTGATTAGCTCAATCTTTAAGAGATGGAAAAATATACGAAATGAGTAAAAAATTGAATTGCAGTTTTGTATACTTATTTAAATTCAATAGCAAATGTATATTAATTTTGACATTTTATTAATTGGAATGCGTCAATTGTATTTAACAGACTGATAGAGAGACAGAAAATTTGATTGACGTGAACAGTACATTTTGTTGTCATACATTTTACATATATGTAAAAACATATATTTGTCAAGTGATCAAATAAAGTTCAAACAATAATTCATTTTTATCACAAAAATAAATACAGATACTACAAGAAGAATGAATCATCAATTCACATTTTCTAGTTAATAAGTTTAATGTTTCAAATTTGCTTTTTTCTAAACTTAAATGGGGTACATATATATGATCTTTGCATGATTTACAACAGTAACACAATTATCACATTTCAAAAGCTCTATAAATTTCATTGGCCTTCTATAAAGTATGCTTTAAAGAGACTCTACTGAGGTTTTATGACGTGCAGGTACCGAAAAGCTAGATGTTTGTCTAGACCAATTATTACCCATGTACAAAATTTCAGATTATTCGCTCACTCAATTTCCCAGAAATAATCAATATTATTGTGCAAATTGGTCCAAAAAATGAAAACCGTTGCAACGCTTTTCACTTGAATCGGCCAAACATCGCATAGAAATCGATTATCAATTTAATTCTGTGTATATTCATATCATCTATTGCTTGGATTCAAATTTAAGTGCACCAAGTGATTAAAGAAAAAAATCAAAATGTATTATTTTAGGCTATTAGACATCAGTAGAGTTCCTTTTATGAATTGTTTCCTTATATTAGCGTATAATGAACATCACATGACAAAATGATATTCGTCTTCAATATCTCTATTGCTATTTAATATACAATATCGTACATTTCTTTCTTCTCTATTCCTAGCGTATCGACCTGTTTCAATAGCTAATTTGTGCAATGATAGTCTAAGCTAAGACAAAACGCTTCTAAATTTAAATGGCAATATATCTAAATAGTTTTTAAACCCTAATGAAGTTTAATAATGCGTTATTCAATGTTCCTCATCCCTGTAGCCGTTGGTGTCAGTTTTGTTTAAAAGTATCTAAAACTAGATGGAACTCATTTAAGTCAACACAGAATGGACTGTTCCAAACATATGAAAAACCGTTACAATCTGAAAGGTATTTAACTTGATATGCCCAGTTTGTTCTATTAACCGTACATTTATTAATTTAATAATACGCACACATCTATTTATATATAATGCGTAACGCCTCAATTTCTCCATATTTTTAATTATTACTACAAGTTATTTCAACATTCAAAAAAAATTGCAAAATTTTGAATGTATACTTCAATTTCTTTTGATTTAACAAAACCGCAAATTTCAAACTAATACTTGGGAAGAGCTGTAACAAAGGCGTCAAATAGCTGGCAAATAACGCTATGTTTAAGAATTAATCCTTTGATATTATACAATAAAACATTGAGAACCTTAAGACCTTTACCTGCCAATGTTTTTTTATTTACTACAAATTGTACCCGTGCAATCAAAATTGTCCTAAGAAAATTAAAATGATCAACAATTACTATTTTCTCATTGTTATAAGTCCAACATACATCATGTTTAAAAGGACCTCATTTTCTAAAAATAATAATTTTCTTCTTCAAAATAATCACTACCAGACCCCATTTATTACAATATGTATAAAGCAAGTTGGGGCTCTTCTGTGGGTCGCTAATTGTATCGCCTTAAATAACCATCGTCTGCAAATAACAAAAGTTTGAACGTTATATCATCTAGTGATAAGTCGCTATCATGTTTTCTTGCAAAAGTAGTTCGAGGTTATCAATAAATAAGGAGAACATAAAAGGGGACATAACCTCTCATTGTTCCTTTTTTAAGCCTACAGCATATTCGAAGAATTGCGAATAAGATTTACAACTTTTAACACAAACGTTAACATGTGAATACATATCCTTTACTATTCTAAATAGCTTTCCATCAATGCCTAATTTAAACAACTTTAGCCAAGGGCCATTTAGATTTATTACTATAAATGCTCTTTTCATATAAACTATACAGCAATACAAACGACCCGTGCGAAAGTCAAATTGCCAATCACTCATAACGTTAAAAGTTTCTGACCAATTGCTTTGCCGCTCATTCAATACTCTTGTAAAATGTTTCGAGAAACAACTTACAAGTGTAATGCCTCTATTGTTATGTACGTCTCACGGATCGTTCATTTTATAAATAGGCACGATAACTCCACATGACCATTCAACTGGAAAATGTCCGGAATTAAGAATAGCATTAAACAACCAAATGAGAAGAGAGTAAATCATAGCATTCTATAAAATATTTGTTTATCAAATTATCCATGCTAGAGGCTTTATTCGTCTTTAATTTCTCTATAATAAATTTCACATCAGCAGAAGTAACTGGCTTATCATTATTATTGGGCAATTTGCATAGTCAAAACGAAGTTAGAAATCCAAACAAATATCGTTTCTTTCTAACAGTTAAATGTAAATGTTTTTATTTATACTTTAAATTCATCTTACAGACACCACTATTTTTCATATTTACATAAATTAAATACTTTTAAAGTCACATCTGTTTTTAATGATCGCAAGAGAAGCAGCAGAAGGTGTAACTGTTAATAAGTGGTCTGTTTTCAAACTTAATTTAACCATGACAGCACACGAGAGAAGACTTTTTTATTCATTGTGTAACAACAAGAGCTATTGTGTGATATTTTTCTTGACTACCCCATGTTTTTTTTATTTCCTTTTATCTTTAACAGAAAATGGCTAATAACTATTTACGTATATTAAACGTTGGAATGGAAGACGCGGGAGTTTACCAGTGCGAGGCCGAAGACGAAAACGGTTGCTATAGTTATAAGGAAGGCAAACTTCAGGTCGTAGACGTAAAGTCTTTCAGTTCATGTACGTGTTTTTATTTCCAATTGAAAAGTTTTTTTAACTTAGATTCACAATATTTTATCTGTTAAGGTTTTTCAGACCATTATTACATGTGCTGATCTTCTTGTTACGATTGATTTTAAATATATAAAAAACACGACCCAGCAACACAGAACTACCGCTATGACGCCCAGCAGGATACCAAACAAAAACATGACAGGTCACAGGGTATAAATTTAAATAGAATTCAAAAAAGGAAATAATAGGAAGCCGCCAAGGAAATAAAAGATAGGCCTACAAAAGTAAAAGGATGTACGGAAAATAACTTGAGAAATGGGGGGCAAAATTGAAAAAGTAAGGAAAAAGGGTACTTTGAACAGGCTCAATCATACAGAGCCATTCAATTTTGCCGTTTTGAAACTTTCTTAAGGGATTCTATTTCTCTCTACGCAAGTAAGACACTTAGAACTCTTGACTACTCGACCCCTTAGGATTCTTAGATAACTCCTAGACCCTCTGACTCTTAGAGCCCTTTTTACATGACTTTTGGACCCCTATATCAAAATTGTACTTTAAAAGACCTGTAAGATATTTCAAGAAATAATTTAAGGCAGATAGTAAATATTTTAATTGATTTATTACAAGATCCGACAAAAGTTTGAAAACGGAAAAAAAAACAATAAATTAACAATGCTTTTAATAACTTTAAGGTTTTTAGCTCACCTGAGCTTGCTTAGGGTGAGCTTTTAGTATCGGTGAATGTCCGTCGTCCGTCAATTGCTTGTGAACACTCTAGCGGTCGCATTTTTGCCTCAATCATCATCAAACTTGGTCAGGATGCTTATCTAGTTGAAAGCTCGGATGAGTTCGAACATGGCTCATCTCGGATGAAAAACAAGGTCACCGGAGCTAAAAATAGAAAAACCTTGTGAACACTCTAGAGGTCACATTTTTGACCCAATCATTATCAAACTTGGTCAGGATGTTTGTCTAGGTAATAGCTCGGATGAGTTCGCATATGGGTCATCTCGGATGAAAAACTAGGTCACCGGAGCTATAAATATAAAAACCTTATTAACACTCTAGCGGTCACATGTTTGCATCAATCATCATCAAACTTGGCCAGGATGCTTATCTACTTAATAGCTTGGATGAGTTCGAATATGGGTCATCTCGGATGAAAAAGTAGGTCACCGGAGCTAAAAATAGAAAAACCTTGTTAACACTTTAGCGGTCACATTTTTGCATCAATCATCATCAAACTTGGTCAAGATGCTTGTCTAGGTGATAGCTCGGATGTGTTCGAACATGGGTCATCTCGGATGTAAAAGTAGGTCACCGGAGCTAAAAATAGAAAAACCTTGTTAACACTCTAGCGGTCACATTTTTGCATCAGTCATCATCAAACTTGGTCAGGATGTTTGTCGAGATGATAGCTCAGATGAGTTCGAACATGGGTCATCTCGGATGAAAAACTAGGTCACAGGACCTAAAAATAGAAAAACCTTGTTAACACTCTAGAGGTCACAATTTTGACTCAATTGTCATCAAACTTGGTCAGGCAACTTGTCGAGGTCATTTCTGGGAATAAATCGAACATGGGACATCTCGGATGAAAAACTAGGTCACAGGAGCTAAAAATAGAAAAACCTTGTTAACACTCTAGAGGTCACAATTTTGACTCAATTGTCATCAAACTTGGTCAGGAAACTTGTCGAGGTCATTGCTGGGAATAAATCGAACATGGGGACATCTCGGATGAAAAACTAGGTCACAGGAGCTAAAAATAGAAAAATCTTGTTAACACTCTAGTGGCTACTGTTGTGATCCAAATATTCTGTTTATTGGTCTGAAAGTTTGTTTTGATGATTTCTAAGTCAAGATCGAGCATGGGTCATCTTGGATGAAAAACTAGGTCACACCGTCCAAATATGGAAAAACCTTGTAAACATTCTAGTGGTCACATTTTCGACTCAATTATCATCAAACTTGGTCAGGATGCTTGTCTAGGTAATTGCTTGGATGAGATCGAAATCGCATGTGAAACTTGGTCACCGGAGCTAAAAATAGAAAAATCTTGTTAACACTCTAGTTGCTATTGTTTTGATCCAAGTATCCTGGAAATTGGTCTGAAAGTTTGTTTTGATGATTTCTAGCTCAAGTTTGAATATGTGTCACCTGGGTTAAAAACTAGGTCGCACTGCTCAAATATGGATAATCCTTGTTAACACTGTAGTGGTCACATTTTTGACTCACCTGTCATGAGACTTGGTCAGAATGCTTATCTAGGTAATTGTTTGGATGAGGTTGATAAGTCAGGTGAGCGATCTAGGGCCATCATGGCCCTCTTGTTTTGTTACCTAGCAGTAATAATAATATTGTATAATTATATGTTTTTTAAAGCTGGGACATAATCTATATTAGTGAAGGAATTATAATTATAATGCGCGATTTGTACATTGAGTGTTTATATTAATATCTAAAATTTCCGTGGTCGAGGGGTTAGAGTCGATGACTTCTAATCCAGTTACCTCTCTGGCGTGGGTTCGATCCCCGGGAGATGCTTTGGTAGTTTAGCGCGGAGGAAGGTAGTCTAGTACCGGTGTAACTCTTCAGGAACGATGGTTAGGAAACTACCCGCCTATATGACTGAATAATGTTGGGAAAAGGCGTAAAATGAAACCAACAAACAAACAAACAAACAAAACTACAATTTCGATATTTTTATTTCTTAAAGATTAAGTTTATTTTTTTCCATTGAAAATGTTATATTGGCGATGAATATTAATACATGTCTACTACATTAATGTTGAAATTACATGTCTGTAGTTCGATGTTGCGATTATCTCGTTTTACACTATGAAAAAAAAAACCATAGTACTAATATCGATCAATACATATCGGTCAATAAATAATTAATGTGATTTGCTCATGTTTTCGAGAATTATATTTAACAACGACAACAATAATGCACATTTGTATATTATGATATGTAGTATTGTACTTATATAGTCTGAAAAAATAAATGATATAGTCTCATCTATTTTTAACATAAAAACGGAAGTAAATTTTCAAAATCCCTTTTTTAAAATTGTTTACATCTCGTATTTCATGCTCATAATTTAAATGAAGTATTGTCTCAAAAGGCTTCAAAAGTGATATTTTCGGCAACAAACGTCATTATGAACATATCTTGATTTTGTTAAATATCTTAAAGTCAATATGTGTTCCTCTTAATCTTTGTGTGAATACACATGTCGATAACATTAAACACCATGTCAATTATAAAATTGTTGTGCTAGATAAACAGTAGCTGCATTTCATTATTAACAGGATACATAACTTAAATAATACACTTGTTACAAAATGTTGACTTGAGAAAAACACCATTTGCTTTGTTTGACCAAATCCCCCGCGAGGTACAGGAACAAAGGAAGCGACTCATCCCCGTCATGGAAGATGCACGTAAAAAAGGTCATAGAGCTTATCTTGTGCGCGAGAAACTATACATTAACAATGTTCTTTACTCCCCAGACTCAGATTAGGACGGGGGAGAAGAGTGTGAACTTTCCGTTATATCAATGGAATGTTGAAGGACTTAAAAACTGCCTATCTGATTCTGAATTTGTTAAATTTTGTTTGTAACTTTGATTTCAATTTTTTGTTGTGAAACTTGGCAAAAGAAATCTGATGAATTTATCTTAGAAGTTATACATCTATTTGTGTACCTAGAGTTGAAAGTGTATCAATTAATAGGAAAAGTTTCAGAGGGCATGGGGGAATATGTCTGTTTATTAAAAATGTCATTCTTAAAGGTGTTTCTATTTTTAGAAAAGGATAAACATGGATTTTTATGGGTACAATTAAATAAAGAATTTTTTCAGTTTAAGTACAGATTATATGTATATGCTTTGCATATATACCTCCAAGTGAATCTGTTCTAATTTTAAATCACATGATATTTGGTTTTTTTTGAACAGCTTGAAATAGGCATTATTAATATTCTAAGATTGGTAAAATATGCGTTATAGGTGATCTAAATGCTAGAACAGCATCTAGGACTGATTCATTGTACTTCTTCTGTATTTGATAAACTATATTGATGCAATCGACAGTCACTATGATGAATGTTCTAATTGATATTAAGCAAAGGTTCAGTGAAGATGAAGTTTTGTAATTCTTCAGGTATTAAGTTATTAGATATATGTTGTAATAGTGACCTTAGAATTTTTAATGGTCGACTAGGTGATGACTGAGAATGTAGGACGCTTCACTTTATGACTAATAAAGGAAAAAGTGTAATAGATTATGCGATTTTATCATATCCACTTATTTCCCTTTGTCAATAATCTTGTTGTTCATGATATTACTCATTCTCTACACATGTACCTATTCAAGTGAATTTTAAGGCCATTTTTGTGAGTAATAATGTTAGTACTGGTAATTGTTGTGTAAATGAACTTGTGTGGGATGTTAACAAGGTAAACATATATAAAGAGCAATGTTAGCTGATACTTCAAAGTTAAATGATATTGTTTCAAAGCATTTGTTGTTCTAATTTTTCACAATTGATGAAGAGTATAAAAGCTTTTGGGAACATACTGTACAATAATGCATATTCGATTTTTCGGTGTGAGAAAATATGCAGTTGGTAGTGTAGGGGTAACAGAAAAAACGTCTAACCCATGGTTTAATGAGAACTGTCTGCAGGCCAAGCGTGACTTAAATTATGCTAACAAACAATACCGCTTGTCAAGACACATGAAAATTATTGTGTAGTTATTGGTAAGCGACTTTTATAGAAAAATTAAGTGTCCGAGCTAAACAATGTATGTAAGTAAACAGAAAGAGGAGTTGCATTCAGCATCAAAAAGTAGTCCAAAAAAGTTTTGGGATCTTGTTCGTAAAACTTTAGAAAGAATGTTAAAAATACACTAATATAACTGCGGAGGATTTTTATGATCATTTTAAAGGATTATTTTCTGATACTGATGTATATAATGATTGAAGATATTCTAAATCAG